GGCCGACGTGCGCAGGCCGCGCGCGCGCGGTGTTTTTCTGTGCGCGCTGCTGCCTGGCCGTGGCACGGCTGCGCAGAAACTCGGCCGCGGGCCCGCGGCCGGCCTCCTCGGCCGAGGCCTAGGTCGCAGGATCCGTGGCCTTGGGTGCCACGTAGGGTGCTGGTAAGCGCAGGCACCACTATCACTCCCAGGGAGGCTCCATCTATTCATCAGGAGTGCTGGAAAGCAGGTCCAGCGTCCCTGCACATTTGATTTGGCACTTTCCAGGGTGTCTCGAGCCTTTGGAAAAAGAGGTTTGGAAGTACTGGTGGTCTATTTTTTTTTATTTTTTATTTGGAAAACACCTCCCCAGCAGTGTTAGTGGTGCTGATAAGAGCAGACACCACTAACACCCGGGGAGAGGCTCCATCTATTGGTGGGGAGCATCACCTGCTGGGAAGCGGGCCCAGCGTCCCATGTACAGATTGAGTTTGCAGTATGTCAAAAGAAGAGCCATTGTGGGGGAGTCCTGCCAGCATTGACCGCGAGTACTTCCAAGGCACTTTTCTCGGGGGCAGGGAACACCCTGCGCGCCAAAAAAGATTAACTGGTGTGGGCCTCCTTTTTGGTTAGTGCGGTTAGCCATTTTGCTCTGGAGGCGGAGCCCCGAAAGTTGCGGCTGCATGCAAGCCGTGCGACGTTGGAAGAAAAGCTGAGAAACATGCTGGTGGTTTAATGAGAACCTTACAAAATGAATGCCTGGGACATTGACAGAAGAGGAAGGGCATATCGCCACAGTAAAAAGGGGAGGAGAAAAGGAAGCCACAGTAAAAAGGGGAGGACAAAAGGAAGTTTGGGCATTCACACTCAATGAGTATGTACTATGTATGGTGAGGATGGATGCTGATAGCTAAGACCCAGGAAGGCTTCCAAGACCTATGGAGCTGGTTGATTGCATTGTCTTGGTTTGTGGGGAAACGACTGAAACTCCCAAAGACCTATGATGATAATAAATATGGTTAACCCGATTAACATAACAAAAGCATAATGGTACATAAAGCCACTTCGAAGTGTACTTATTTACTTTGCTAATTTTTGAAATGTGGTGGAAATTCCATAGGACCCAAAATGGAAATAGCACCTTTGTCTAAAGTTTTCAAAGAAACTTCATACCCAAAACGTAAAAATGATTTAGCTATGAAATCATTAAAAACCTTACTAGTTAACCATCACTTGTTCAAAAAACAATAGCAGACCCAGGGGCCTTTATACACTGGAGCACACTCAGTGTATATTCCATGCGTGAGAGGTATTGCCCAAAACTTGTGTCCAAAATCATGATGATCCTTCCCCTGGGTTGGGTTGCAGGATGGGCCACGTCGTGGCAAGCCTGAGGCTTGACTGATACCATCAACCACCGCCTGGTAACTGACCAAGAAGAGGATGAGAGCATTTTGCTTCAGTTCCCTGATTGAAGAAAAAAAAAAAAAAAGAGGAGTGGTACATGCAACATCTGGATATGCAATTCATTCACCAGCTCCATCTGCATTTGAGCTCATGTCTGTATGTCAACAATGCATGGGTGTACGAACTGAGCTAGAGCAGTCGGTGCCTCTGGTGCGCCCCTCGTGCTTGCCGGTAATAAGCAACCGGACTGACGCCCCCCAGAATAGCAAGTAGTGGCCTTTCCAGCCATGTGTTTATTCTTTTCTGAAGAAGACGAAGAAGAAGAAGTAAAAGAAAGAAAAGAAAAGGATCGATGAGAGTTGCAGTCTTGCAAGGGCGTTCGTTAGTGGGGTATCATTGGAATTCACTATCATCCATCGGGTGCCTTGCATGTGTTTATGCGACACTGATCTGTTTGCAAACAGGTGCAGATCTTCCCACCTGATAGACAGGGCCTCATAAATAACACAGCAGATATGCCTAACTGACTTGATTTTTGAACCACCAGTCCACACGAGCCAAAGTTGTGGCTTTGTCGATATACTACGTGGCAAGACTCTTCCGCTTTGAGGTTGGGCCAGTGGCAAAAGCGGCAGCCCACTTTCAAAAGGTGTCGTTGCAGGCTCATGAGGCTTGGAAGGTAGGATGTGCTCACACAGCCTAAGCCCACCACATGGACAGGTCAGGACTTAGGAGGAGAAGAAACATAGCCCCATCAATAGGAGGAGATGAGCAACAGATTATAGACTAGGGAGCTAAAGCAACTCTTTGAAGAACCCTCCCAGCGTCCCGGTCTGTATGATGTGTTATGTGCAACCTGTTGTGAACGATCTGGGATGGTGGACACGTTTTCCAGCAATTGACGCTCCCCACTAATATTATGGAGCCATCCAACGGCGGAAAAGCTCCATCCGTTGACGGTTGTTTGTATCACATCCTAGGGATTGGGACCCTGATGATGTTTTGCTGGAAAAGGTAACTTCACTAGAGTTACGAAAACGCCTTATAATTTTACTATAGGGCAAGATACAGTTTGCAACTGCACTTCGGGGACCCTTCCTAGCCAGACTGCTGGGTTGTATATATTGCCCAAACTACGATTCGAAACTGTGTCTTGGCCCAAAGTGCAATTATAACTCATTTTTGTGACTCCCGCTGTCGAGTGCATCGGTCCCGCAGGGGAACCCTCCCGGACACATCCCGTAGGATTTGTGCAAGATTTTTTTGCAGTGAAGGTTTCGCCGTTCCGGCTAAGTGCGCCAGCCATACCTCTTGCGGACCCCTAGGATAGGACAGTGTCACGCAAGGTACAACTTACCTCCGCCCAAGGCGCTGTCATCACTCTTGAACGAGCGTATCCCCGCCGAGCTACTGAACCATGTGCAAAAGTTGCTTAGTTGCAATCATAGAGATGGCCCAGCCGAGGGTTTTTGTCGTATGCTGTAGTATAGGGGGTATGAGAGGTTGCATGCCTCAATCAAACCTGTACGTGAGCTAACACACTGGGGGCTGATGTCCCAAGCGCGACTCGACACCGGTCGGCTCAGACATTTCATCAAACCACGCGTTACACCACACCAAAATAAAACCAAGTTACACACATAAAAGTTGATAAAATGCACCTAGTCCCTTTTTGCATCCAACCCTTAACCTTTCTGACATAGGAAATAGTTGGTTGTCTCATGCGAGTCCCGAATAAATATCGTGAGGACGCAGGCTTTGTCATATCGACTAGCAATGCATGAATACGCGAGCAGTCGCAGTGATGACGTACTACGTAGTACCCATAATCATGTGGTCCTCGGTGGTCGCGAGAGTCGCTTTCAACACTCAAGTGTCGGGTGACACCCGCCTTGAGGGATTAATTTATCGATGTTAGACAACCGCAAAGCCGGGTGCGAGTCCTATCCTCTTCTGCACCCTGCGCAGATAAGCAGTAGGCGGGCTTCGACCCTTTGTAGCAGTTGAGCACCCCTAACACTAAAAATGGGGTTCCATCTTTCGACGAGGGGACACAAGTAAAGGGGTTTGACTTTGACAATTGCTACAGACTTTAATGTCTAACCATGAAAATTAACAAGCAAAATCGATCTGTAATTAGATAAACATTCAAATATATGTATTTAATCAGAACTCGAGATAAAATAGAAAAGGGAAACGATAAGCCTTTCAGATATGTAGATCGTGTGACAGATGGTTGTCATTTTGACCGTCTCGAAAGTAAAACTCGTACATCAAGCTTCAAACACTAACCTACATAAAACACAGGCACATGCTAAAGGTACATTGCCATATACTAATGTGGTCAACTTTACTATTCCTTGTAGCCCACACCACGCCTTACACACTCAAAGCCCCAACCGTAGTTCGACTTTCCCTAAGAACCCATCAGTTCTTTATAATGGTCACAAAAAGAAGTCTGGTTAAAACTCTCAAAGAAACCTAGGTAGCACGGCGTAGGTGTACGCGGGTTGCACGTACATGCGTACACGTATTCCTGTACGCGACACGTACGCACGTACATGCACTCCCGTATGTAGGAAATACGTGGAAAAAAAAGAAACAATCATTGAAAAAATCTGAAAAAAACGTATATTATGCAAACTGATATTTTAAACAACTTTTGCCCAAGACTCATCTCAAAACTCTGTACCAAACTCGAGTTAAAAATCAAGGACACACACAAAAAAAAAATTGAAATAATTAAGAAAAAACTTAGTAAAATACAGAAAAAATACAAACAAACTTTTGTAAATAAAAACAAACTTTGTAATAAATATACTAAGTTATTTTCCCGGATATGCGGATGACCCTGGACCATCCAGAATATTCGGCCGAAAAAATACCCCCAGAAGACTCCGGAAATAAACATTCCGGGCCCTGCTCAAAATAGGCGCAGGGCTTCTTTCTAGGGTGGAGGGGCGCCAAGGGGTTTTGATCAACCCCTGGCAGCACCTCGTTGTGGCGGATCCCGAGAGGGACCCACGTATTTTGAAAAAACAAAGGCCCGATCTGGGTTGTCGGACCACCGAGATCGACGGTCCAGATTGAGCCAATTTTGAATTCGAAATCTCGCTGCGCCGCTGGCCCGCTGCTTGCTGCCCCAGTGCTCGTTGCCCTGTTGCTCGCCGCCCCGCTGCCCTGTTGCTCACTGCCCCGCTGCCCTGTTGCTCGCTGCCCCGCTGCCCTGCTGCTCGCTGCCTCGCTGCCCTGTTGCTCGATGCCCTGCTGCCCGCTGCTCCACTGTTCCGCTGCTGCAGGCATAGCCGCCGCCGCCGAGTGCTGCTCCTCCTGTACTCGTCGCTGAAGGTGAGCCTCCACCTCCTCCTCCTCCTCCTCCTTGGTTTTCTCCTCCTCCACCTCCTCCTCCTCGACTTTCACCTCCTCCACCTCCTCCTCCTCCTCCTCTTCCTAGTCATCTTCCACCTCTTCCTCCTCCTCCTCCTCGTCTTCCACCTCCTCCTCCTCCTCCTCCCTTTGCACCTTCTCCTCCTCTTTCTCTCGCTGTTCAACTGTTGTAGGCATAGCCGCCGCAGCTAGAGCCATCGCCGGGTGCTGCTTGTCCTCTACTCGTCGCGGAAGGTGAGCATCCACCTCCCTCTCCTCCTCGTCCTCCTCGGCTTTCACCTCCTCCACCTCCTCCACCTCCTCCTCCTCCCCTTCCTACTCATCTTCCACCTCCTCCTCCTCCTCCTCCTCCTCCTCGTCTTCCACCTCCTCCTCCTCCTCCTCACCTTCTCCTCCTCTTCCTCCCACTGTTCCGTTGCTGCAGGCATAGCCACCGCCGCTGGAGCCATCGCCAGGTGCTGCTCCTCCTCTACTCGTCGTTGAAGGTGAGCCATCGTTGGGTGCTCCTCCTCCTCCTCTACTCGCCGGGTGCTGCTCCTCCTCTCCTCGTCGCTTAAGATGAGCCATCGCCGGGTGCTGCTCCTCTTCCTCCTCCTCGACTTTCACCTCCTCCACGTCCTCCACCTCCTCCACCTCCTCCACCTCCTCCACCTCCTCCTCCTCCTCCTCCTCCCCGTCTTCCACCTCCTCCTCATCCTCCTCATCCTCCTCCCTTTGCACCTTTTCCTCCCGCTGTTCCGCTGCTGCAGGCATAGCCGCCAACGCTGGAGCCATCGTCGGGTGTTGCTCTTCCTCTACTCGTCGTTAAAGGTGAGCCTCCACCTCCTCCTCCTCCTCCTCCTCCTCCTCCTCCTCCTCGGCTTTCACCACCTCCACCTCCTTCTTCTTCTTCTTCGGCTTTCACCTCCTCCACCTCCTCCTCCACCTCCTCCTTCACCTCCTCCACCCCTTCCTCTTCCTCCTCGTCCTCCTCTCCCTACTCGTCTTCCACCTCCTCCTCTTCCTACTCGTATTCCACCTCCTCCTCCTCCTTGTCTTCCACCTCCGCCTCCTCCTCCTCCTCGTCCCTTTGTTCCTCGTCCTCTTCCTCCCGCTGTTCCGTTGCTGCAGGGGTAGCCGTCGCCACTAGAGCCATCGTCGGGAACTGCTCCTCCTCTACCCGTCGCTGAAGGTGAGCCTCCACCTCCTCCTCCTCCTCCTCTTCCTCCTCTCCCTCCTCCTCCTCCTCGACTTTCACCCCCTCCACCTCCTTCACCCACTTCTTCACCTCCTCCTCCTCCTCAATCGATCAATCAATCAATCAATGAAAAAAAAAAAAAAATGTTATCCAATCGAATCAATTGATTCGATTGATCCAATAACATTTTTTTTTTTTTTTCCATCGATCGATTGATTGATTGATCCAATTGAATCGATCAATTTGATTGGTTCTTGATTTTAAAATCGAGATCCAATTGAATCGATTGATTCGATGGGATAATCCTATAATGTTTTTTTTTTGTTTTTTTTTTTTTGATTGATTGATTGATTAAGGGGGGGGATAAAAAGTGGGTCAGGGTGGTATAGGGGCGAAAGCCTAATCGATCCGCTTTGTAGCTCGTTCCCTCAGAAGCTTCCGTGACGATGGTTGGAGGCTTGGAGCTCTTGAAAAGTGTTGCCGAGTGAAGCAAAAAATTGGAGTACTAGGAGGAGAAAAAGGTCGAGGAGGAGGAGGAGGAGGAGGGATGACGAGGAGGAGGAGGAGGTGGCGGAGGAGGAGAAAGAGGAGGAGGAGGAAGGATGGCAAGGTAGAGGAGGAGGAGGACGAGGAGGAAGGATGAGGAGGAGGAGGAGGAGGAGGAAGAAGAATAAGAAGAATTAGAAGAGGAGGAGGAGGAGGAGGAGGAGAAGGAAGAAGACGAAGTAGAAGACAAGGAGGAGGAGGAAGACGAAGAGGAGGAAGGGGAGGAGTGCAAAATAGGAGGAGGAGGAGGAGGAGGAGGAGGACGAGGATGAGGATGAGGACGATCAAGAAGAGGAGGAGAAGGAGGAGAATGTAGAAGTGGCGGAGGACGAGCTGAGTTGTAGGGAGGAGGCGGACAGGAAGGAGGAGGGGGGAAAAATCCCATATTTGAACCTGTTGGAGTCCTCTTCAGGATTTTCGCAAAAAAACACCAACGTTTGAACATGTTGGCGTGTCAATTGAGCGCAAAAAAAAAAAAAAAAAAAAAAAAAAAAAAAAAAAAAAAAACATTCTTTTTCTGGATATTTTCCAGTTTATCCAAAATTTTGGATAAACAGGGTGCCGGATAAAGCGGTCGGATATTCCGGTCACTTAATCCGGCTGGAAATGATAAACAACCCAAATTATTATGATAATATTACTTTTTTTTCAGTTTTTAATTTCTTACTCGAGTTTGGTTGGGAATTCGGGGATGACTGATAGACAAAAGTTGTTTATATCATGTTTCTTCATAACATATACATTTGCTAAGTTGTTTATCATTTCCGGCCGGATTAAGTAATCGGAATATCCGGCCGCTTTATCCGGCATCCCATTTATCCGGATTTCCGAATAAACCAGAAAATGACCGAAAAAAAAAGTTGTTGGTTTTTTTTTTTTTTTTTTTTAATCAATCAATGGAAAAAAAAAAGACAAGAAGTTCTTCAATCGAATCCATCGATTCGATTAGATCTTGATTTTGAGTCAAAAGATCCAATCGAATCGATGAATATTGGATAAATTTGGCTTTTTTTTTTTCGCCGATTAATTGATTGATTGATTAATTGGTTGAAGCGATCGATTCGATTTGTAATCAATCAACCAATTTATTTTTTTTATGAAGAATGATAAAAAAAAAACAGAAAAGGCGGGGGGGAAGGGGCCTGCTGCGATGAAGTTGGCGGTGGGTGAGGGGGGGGGCTGCTGCGACACAGTCGACCTCCCAGTCCCTTGAGGCGGCCCACCCCCCTCCCCCTCGTTTCTGCTGCTCCTCCCTATCCACCTCCTCCCTCCTCTCTCTGTCCTCCGCCTCTTCTGAGTCGTCCTCCTTTCTCTCCTCCTCCTTCTTCTCCTCCTCGTCTTGGTCGCCGTCCTCCGCCTCCTCCTCCTCGTCTTCTACATCTTCTTCCTCCTCCTCCTCCTCCTTGTTGTCGCCATCCTTCCTCCTTGTGCTCCTCTTTTGCGTTGTCCTCCTCTTTCTCCTCCTCCTCCTCCTCGTCTTCTACATCTTCTTCATCCTCCTCGTCATCCTTCCTCCTCCGCCTCCTCCTCCTCCTCCTCCACACCTCCTCCTCCTCCGTCGCCTCGGCCTCCTCCTCCTCCTCCTCGTATTGGAATCGATTAGGCTTCCGCCCCTATACCTTTTTTTTTTCCCCTTTGTCTTTGTTTTTTCGTCGATTGATTGATTGAATCAATCGATTCCATTTGTTATCAATCATTTTTTTTTTTTTTTTTTTTTTTTTCTTAATGAAGAACGAGAAAAACAAAACACAGAAAAGGTAGGGGGGGGGGGGAGCTGCTGCTGCGATGCAGTTGGCGGCGGGTGAGGGGGGGGCCTGCTGCGACACGGTCGGCCACCCACTCCCCTGACTTGCCCTCCCCCCCTTCCCCCTCATTTTTGCTCCTCCCTGCTCGCCTCCTCCCTCCTCCTCTCCTCGTCCTCCGCCTATTATGAGTCGTCCTTCTCTCTCTCGTCCTCCTCGTCTTGGTCCTCCTCCTCCTCCTTCTCTTTCTCCTTCTCGTCTTCTACTTCGTATTCTTGCTCCTCCTCCTCCTCCTCCTCTTCCTCGGACCTCCTCCTCCTCCTCCTCCTCCTCCTCCTCCGCCTCCGCCTCCTCCCCCTCATCCTCCTCTTCCTCCTCCGCCTCCTCCCCCTCCTCCTCATCGTCATCCTTCCTCCCCCTCCTCCTCATCGTCGTCATCCTTCCTCCTCCGTCTTCTTCATCCTTCTCGCCTTCCTCTTCCTCCTCATCCTCGTCTTTTGCTTCTTTTTCTTCCTCTTCCTCCTCGTCCTCTTCCTCCTTGTCCTCTTCCTCCTTGTCCTCTTCCTCCTTGTCCTCTTCCTCCTCCTCCTCTCCCTCGTCCTCCTCCTCCTCCTTTTCCTCCTCATCTCCATCCTCATCCTCCTTGCCCTCCTCCCTCCTCCTCTACTTCCTCCTCATCTTCTTCTCCATCCTCCTCGCCCTCCTCTTTCTTTTCCTCCTCGTTTTCTACTTCTTCTTCCTCTTCCTCCTCGTCCTCTTCCTCCTCGTCCTCTTCCTCCTCTCCCTCTCCCTCCTCCTCATCCTCCTCCTCCTCTTCCTCCTCCTCCTCCTCCTCGTCATCCTTCCTCCTCGTCCTCTTCCTCCTCCTCCTCGTCATCCTTCCTCCTCCTCGTCCTCTTCCTCCTCCTCTTGTAGTTCTTCTTCTTCCTCCTCCTCAGTTGCTATGTGCCCTGGAGCTGCTGATGTATCTACTTTGCACGGTTGCTATGTGCTCTTCTACCCCACACACACTGTATATAAAGGGAGGAGGAGGAGGAAGAGGAAGAGGAGGGCGAGGAGGATGAAGAAAAAGAGGAGGTGGAGGAGGCGAGTGAAGAAGAGGAGGAGGAGGAAGAGGAGGAGGAGGAAGAGGAGAGGAAGAGGAGGAGGAGGTGCTGGAGGCGGGTGAATGGGGAGAACGGTCGAAAGCTCACCTCGATGACGATACAGCAAGAGGACGACTCTTCCAGCGAAGGCTCCTGCGGCGGCAGCGATGATTCCAGCAGCTCAACAACTGGGCAGCAGGTTGTCAGCACCGGCAGGCTCGACACATTGGCGGCGGGTGGGGACAAGCAGCAGGCACCGTGGCGACGGGGCAGTGGGCTGGGGCCGGGCCATTACCCTGCGCGTAATCCAAAACTGGCTGGCGCAACTTCGAATTCAAACACAGGCCCGATCTGGGCCGTCGATGTTAATCAATGGACAGCCCACATCGGGTCATTAGTATTTCAAATCGGGTAGGGCCCTTATCGGATCCGCCCTATAGGACCGGGTTCCAGGGGTCGATCAAAACTCCTACGCGCCCTTCAACCCCCCAAAACAGACTTGTGCCTATTTTGCGCAGGCCCCGAAAAGGTAATTCTCGGGTTCTTCCAGGAAATATTTTTTGACCGGATGATACGGATGATCCAGGACCATCTAGATATCCGGGAAAACAACTTAGATATTGAAAACCTATTTAAAAATATATTTTTAAAGTTTTATTCTTTTGAAGTTTTTTTTAAGGATTTGGATTTTTAAATCGAGTTTGGTTGGGAATTCGGATATGACTCCCAGGCAAAAGTGGTTTTTATCATTATCTTGCACAACATACTTTATTTTCAGATTTTTTTGAGGTTTTTTTTTTTTTTTTTTTTTTTTTTTTTTTTTTTTTAACGTACGTATGCATGTGATTTTGGGTTCGTACGCATACTCTAGAATACGTACACGTACGGGGTGCTATCCAGAAAGACAAATATTAAATTTCGGGATTGAGGCATCAAGTTGAGAAACAGGTATAAGCAAAGTTGTGTCGTGAGCCGACGAATCGGCAACCAACCAATTGACAGGTTATCAAAAGATAACAAAAGATGATCCTCATAGGATCGGGCTGAAACTTAATCAGATCTTGAATCGAGAATAAATCCCCATATCACATCTCACTCAAAATCTTATAAAACTAAATCTTCAATGTATCTCTTAATGTGTGCCAGAAAAAAAAAAAAATGTTGGCAATATATACAGGATGAATCACCAAGACTTTTCCTATCAAAATATAATCCTTCTACGAAAAATGTCGTTTCAAAATTTATACAAAGTTAAAAACCAAACTCAAAATAATCATGACTTCACAATGTCAAATTTTGCCTAGCTCCTGATTTAGTAAAACTTTGGACAACAACTTCCTTAGCAAAGTAGGTTTCTCATATTCTTACTAAGCCAAATATAAACTCGGACATAAATTAAAATTTGCAGAGTCAAAATTTGACTAACTCCTTGGATTGCAGATATTTGGGCAACACTTTCCTTAGCAAAAATGAGTTCCAAAAATTTATACAAAGCCAAAATTTGACTAACTCCTTGGATTGCAGATCTTTGGACAACACTTCCCTTAGCAAAAGTGAGTTCCAAAAATTTATACAAAGCCAAGTATGAGAAAAAATAAATTGATCACAGAAAATGCAGTAATCGCATGTACGTGGGATTTTGGGTTTGTACACGTACGCCGAAATACGTACGCGTATGCATTGCGTACACGTACGGGGTGCTACCAAGAAAAACACATATCAAATTTTGGGGTTAAGGCAGCAAGTTGAGGTATAGGTGTAAGCAAAGTTGTGTCGTGAGCCGGGGAAACGGGCAACGGACATGTTATCAAAATATATTAGAAGACAATTTTTGCGGGATCGGGTTGAAACTTAATCAAATTTTGAATCGAAAATAAACCACTATATCACATCTCACTCAAACTTTTATAAGACTAAATCTTAAATATATCTTTCAATCTGTGTCAGAAGAATAAGAAAGTTTTTGGTAATATATACAGGGTGTATCACAAAAACTTTTCCTATCAAAATATAATCCCTCTAAGAAAAATGTCGTTTCAAAATTTATACAAAGTTAAACACCAAATTCAAAATAATCATATGACTTCACAATGTCAAATTTTGCCCAACTTCCTTATTTAGTAAAACATTGGGTAGCAACTTCCTTAGCAAAGTAGGTTTTCCATAATTTTACTAAGCCAGGTATAAACTTAGACAAAAGTTCAAATCTGCAGAGTCAAGATTAGACTATTGCATAAATTTGGTCAGAATTTCCCTTAGCAAAGTGACCTTTCAAAATTTATACAAAGCCAAGTATGAGAAAAAATAAGTTTATCCAAAAAAATGCAGAAATTGAACCAACTCCTATAAAACATAAACTTCAACTCAGAAAAATGCAAGAATTGACCTAACTCCTAACGCAGCTTGGTACGATTGTGTTCAAAACGATAATAATTACAAACACGTTCTCGAATCTGATTATTTTTTTTTTAAATCTTTGCAATAATTAAGTTTACCAGACCAATTTGGCATGCGGTTTATCCGCTTCATCACAAAATCCAGATCTACTGATGTTTTGTATTATATAAGAGATAGATGCTTCCATTGTAATATTGGTTTTCCCAAGACTGTCTCCAGCGTGTGACGAACATCTAAAGTAACTACCTATCAAAGTTGACACTACGACAAAGTAAAACTCTTACATAATTTCATACAAATTCATACAACAATGAGTTAGTACTCTCACCAAAATCCAGATTATTAACTCTTTACCTATCCTACAAATGGCATGACGCTACACCATTCAACCTAGAAACACTGCCTAACATGCCTTTCTCCTCATTGTACACGATCACGTTGCACAATTACTTTTCTCCTCATTGGGAATATGACTAAGCTATTCAACTTAGAAACCCTGCATATTTGCCATGAATTGTTTAATATCCAAGATTTAATAATTCTCTGACTTGTCTTTAAAATATGGGCAAGGGACTGAGCCATTCAGCTTAGCAACAATGCTCTGCTTGCCGAACTTACTTCCAATTATACTCTTGGCTTTATTTCTCTTTGTAATGATATGACTTAAGTTGAACCATTCGACCTGGAAACAATGTTCAGCTGAGTGTTCGTATACAAAGATAGACAAAAACATTTTCAATTATACTCGTTTGTGCTTAGTGTGTGATTTCAGGCTAAACCATTCGGCTTGGAAACAATGTCTAGTCTTTCATCAAAATCCTCTCTTAGAATAAAACAAAAAAGTGCATCATTCAGCTTGGAAAGAATGTTCTGTTTATCCCAAATCACACAAAAACATGAAGTTTGACCATTTAGTTTAACTTCAGTCAGAAACCGCAAAAGGAACATATAAACCAAACCATTCAGCTTAAAAAAAAAGTTTGGTCTCAAAAATCAGTAAGGCAAGCCCTCATAAATAAATACGGTAATCAAGTCATTTAGCTTAGAGTTAATGCATGGTCCTTTAGAAAACAAGCAATAAACATAGCACTGAGCCATTTAACTTAGAAGCAATGTCCAACCTTTGGTTGACCCGGTCAAGCGCATGCAAAACTACCTTCCTTCCGCCTTCCCCTAGTTTATCGCTTAGTCTGCTTTCAGTCGTAATAAAATAAAACTGAATTTTTACGCATGCGTTCGTTTCATTGAATTTGATTTAGTTATGAAAAGTTAAGAAAGTAATAGGGAAACGCATGCATACACATCAGACATACTAGAATGATGTAATGAAAATAGGGGTACTGGGCCTACTCAAGGTGAAGGAAAATTATACCTGACAGTTATCTGCCTCCGTAACCTCGCCTGAGTTCCGACATAGCTCCGGCAATCGGTAGGGCGAACCTCCCATAGAGGTTTTGGTGCAGATTGTCGCCTTCCTCTCTAAACCAGAAGATTAGACTAAGAGTAAGAAGGGTCAAGAAAGACGCATTAAGTCTTTCAAGTATAAGGAAGGTGCTCTCAGACCTGCGTGAGAGGGCCTCGATACCTTGAGTCGCCCGAGGGCCCCGCAATGGCAGCCAAAAATCACAGTAAGATGGTCAACCCCAAACCAAGCGTAGAACAAACGACACTCTGACGAACCTTCAAGTCGCAGAAAGACCCCCTCTACGAAACCTGATTATCACTCAAAGTCGCAACGATGTTACCTGTCACCAAACTGCTGCTATGCCGCCCAGAATGGCTGTTTTTAAAATAGAGCACACCCATTCTAGGACGGGAAAGTGTTCCACTTTCCCTACTATGCCCAATTCCACTTGTTTGTTTTAACAAAGGTGTACTTATGATGACAGTAAGCTATAGGGGACCCCTACCAAGACCAGATTTTAGCACGTAGGGGTGCCCAGCAGCCTGATTTGCTTATCCACTGGCAGTCTAGCGTAGGTGAAAGTATTCTCATATCCCATGGCAACTGTTTTTAGGGAATTGGAGGTAGTTTTGACAATTTTGACTGTTTTGTTTCGCTCCCAGCTAACAACCTTTTTTTTTTTTTTTTTTTTTTTTTTTATTGCCCCAATCTATTCGTGGGGAGCAGCACGTGTTGGGGACCGGGCCCAGCGTCGGGCAAGTAGGAGTGGGGACAGGGAGAGGAAGGGACTTTACAAAAGAAAGGGGAAACAATAGGGCGAAGGAGCTCCCAGAAATAGACATATCCATAGGGTCGGAAACATCACACATATTTTCAGCTCAGCAGGATTCAACTGCGCTAGCATCAGGCACAGTAAAAGAGAGACAGTATGGAAATGAGATCCCAAAGACGGCCACATCGGCTCCAGGAGAGAGAGGGACTGTACATGAGGACTTTACATGAGAATATAGCCACGACAAAAAGGGAGACAATGGGGCTAAAAAAGTGGGGGTAGGGGAAT